ATTATGAGCTTTTTTACGACTGTGAGGTGTTCATTCATAATACACTGTATCCGTCAATTAATTAATGCTGCCTATACTGTATAAAGCAATTACCATACCTATTACCACTTCTTATGAGAACTATTTGACTTCTTTCTCAAACTGTAGGCGAAAACGTACCTTTCCTTTAACAGGATGTACACAGTTCGCTGTTTGTAGGTTTCAAAACTATTCGGCAACCTAGAAACTTTTTAAAAACCAAATAATACTTTTTCTTCAAGCGAAAAATTTGAAGAAGGCGTAATTTGCTGCCAAATGAGTAAGAGAAATCATTTTTTCGCTTACATTTTTCATGAAAATATATTTGAACTTAAAAAGGCACTCAAAATCAATGATAAAAACGCATACTATCAAAGTACTTACTTTCAACAGTACGCACGTTTTTTTCTTGATCAGAACACATTTCGTTAAAAAGCCCGCATCCTATCATGACTGAAATAACTTCAGAATACACTACACGATAAGCAGTATCATAACCTGAATCAATGCCGGCATGTTGCACGAATTCTGACGCGTACTATATACGTGAAACAACCCTTGCGGTCAGTTGAGACCTTATTAACAACACACGTCCGAGCCTCCATCATTTTTACCTCTGGAACGAAATCGATAAAGGGTTGAACTACGTAGAGCCCGAAGCCCATTCGAATCGGTCTAAAGGCGTTTCACAGAGACAGAGGCTGTGGGTGGAGCCGACTGTCTGCTTTGATTTAAGTCAGTTGAGAAGCGAAGCGGCCAGAACTTGCCTCGAACATCTTGACCTTTCGCATAGAATCAGTTTGAGACAGAGCCTTGACTGCTTGAGAAAGCTGTTCAAAGGGGTACTGTCGAAGAGTTCGACTGAAGACAGCCATTTCGCGTGGTCGGCTGGACTCCGTGCCAATGCGAACGGCGGCCTGAAAGAAAGAAAAACCAAAATGCTATAAGCGGCAAATATAAGGCAGGTGGGACTGCTTGGAAGACTTTATTTGCCTGACGTTTCGGATTCACCCTCGAACTCCTCATCAGAGACAGCATCAGATACGGATAAATTCGCACGTAATTACCCTCTAGGATAGACATTTTGCTTGCATAAAACTAAGGCAGTTGGAGTAGGAAGGATAAGAAGAAAAAGAGGGCTAGGTTAGTGATATTACGCAGCGCTAATATACTCCCGGATCAGCCTTGGTTCGCTTAGTGGCCAAAATGTGTCGTGTGTCGAGTCAGTGAAGCAAACCAGGTAATACGCGACCAAACGAGCTTTCCCTGCTTACTAATGTTCCGGAAGGCAATAGCTCACTAGCTTAGTGTAAAATAGCCAGCATATTATCGAGGGCTATCTTGTAACCCGGCCGGGCACTGCGAGTTGTGCATGAGTTCGAGTTTGATAAAGGTCATCTGTAGAGAACTTTCCTTGTCAAACTCGTCAACACGAATTGACTCACGGGTCGTTTACCTTGTCGGCCAGGTTGGGAAGCAGGCTCGTTCCGAAAAGTTTAACCACCTGAGAAACCAAGATCACTGTTGCACGATTTTTGCGATTAATTATGCCAGTCATATGGCCTCCGATTTTGTCAGAATACAGAGGCTGGAAGTCGGAACGGAACCCAAACATTTACGCCAGTTACCGCCTTCTCCGCTCTGGGTACTGATAATTATCGTCAAATTCAATAGGCATACAACATTCAGTCCACGTGATCTGGTCTGTTACACAATTATAAGGGGGGTACAAATAATATGCAGTACGCGCAGTCTGGAGGGTTACTACCTTTGGTAGATGTCAAATTTACTTCCCAGAACTTGCTTAAAGAATTTAAGTTTATTGCAGCAAAAAGCGCGCAATAAATAGAGAAATTTACATAGTTACATTTCTTACTTATTTATAGTATATTTTATTGTTATGGTCAGTTTTAGTTATGTTTTTAGTTTACTATTGAGGTTTAGTGGTTTTTATCGTAGCTTTATATTTGTTTTTAGTTTACCTAGTTTAGGTTATTGTAGATTACTTTTGCTTAGTTATTTTAGTTCGGTTTTAGTTTACTTTACTTTGCTTTAGATAATTTGGTTTATTTAACTTATATTAAAATTCTGCTTTTATTTTAGTTTTCAGTTCATTATATGTTTTATTATTTTTATTTTGGTTTCAAATTACTTTTTAATAAAGCGGGTTTGGCTTCCTTTAGTTTACCCTTTGGGCTGTAGTTTTTTCTTTAATTATAATGTAAGAAACTACTTTCACATGTTTAATAGTTCGACTTTATAACGGTTTTCCTTTTTTGTCGCCAGCGCCAGATAATGGATACTGAAAATATGAAAGTATTTTTTTTAATAGTTTTTTTTAAATTTACTTAAGTTCCAATATTTGCATAGTTGCACGTTAAAATTATGACAACCTTTTTGACAATCATTGCATTTTTTAAATTAATATTCCTGCTTATTCTACGTTTATAAACATTACTTTTTTATTTAAATATCCTTTCCCTCGTATGACCTTCATTACACCTGGTCCCATATTACACAAGGAAGAGGTTTTCATGTGCTGATCTAGGAGGTAAACTAGACATATACACCATTTTCTTTAAAAATGCAACCAGCCTACGAGTAGTTGGAAGCGAAATTACTGAGGATACGTGCCGGATAGGCAGTAACTACGACTTTAGCGTAAAATCATCAATAACAATTACACGAATTGGGTTTCTTTGGGAAAGTAGAAAGCGAATTAGGGTTGGTTTTGAAGTTTCAATTAAGGTACGTGACTTAGAGCCT